CGACTTTACTTACCCACTTGTATCTACGAAGCTATGCTACTCGGGTGACGTGCTGGAAAGGCATTAAACTGCCTAAAAAGGACACTTTTAGTCATGAATACATTTCCAAGTGCACCTTTAAATGGGTCATTAGTCAGACCATGAATGATTAATAAAATTTTTAACTGTAGTGACGCGATACAAAACGACTTCTGCCAGTGTTACATTAATTATTTTTTATTCAACCGAATACAAGAATAATTTAAGTGAAAGTTTTGCTTACACAGAGCCTGTTGCAGCGGTATCAACCTTTGTCCGAGGAGTGCGGACAGGGCGCGTGGCTGTTGGTACTCCCAGAGAAACCCTCGACATGGCGAACCAATGGCTGAGTTCAAGGTGCTAGTAACCAATTGCATGTAGGCGCGCTATATGGATAGGTAACCGTGATTCACTAGCACACGCAAGCGGGCACAAGCACACAAATACAAACGTACGCACGCGCACATGGACAAAGGAGGCATGAGTCGACATTGTGGTGCATCGCAGCGACGCAGCTATTGTAGTGCCTCTATAGCAGGTGGAGATGGCTGGAATACTACTTTAGTGCTCTGCTTAATTTTCGGGACAATTTTTGGCTGACTAAAGCGTCATTTCCCACTAAAAAATAAATTTGCAAACGGATTTGCAGCTTAAATGAAAGAAAACGGGGAAATTAAACTCATACTGATTTTGTTAAGTCCAGGGGATTTCCCCTCGATCAAGGTCCAAGATTAATATGTTGGTGATTCGGATGACTCAATCAACTCTATTTTGCAATTAAGCGATCAAAACAAGGTCACACTATGGGGTCGTGACCTTCTTTAAGGGTGATTTTTAATAATTATCACTCCTGCTACAGGAACTTGCATATCACAATATTGCACACCTAAGATGAAATAAAGTAAACTGGAGGGGAACCAAAAAGACAATAATGAAATATCTTTGCTGGGGTAGCCGACTCTCCCCTTCCCTCACCAAAACTCCAGTAGCGAAGAGAGTAAGCTAAGAAATTACTAAGTTGGTAAATAGTTAAATAATGGTGCCTGAGTCATTTCATGGACCTAAACCAACAAATTTCTTGTTTTCTAAAGCAGGGACCCGCAAAGTATTTCAAACAAACATTTGCATCTGCTATAAATGCCAGTTTGATGTGGTCTTGCTCCAAAACCCATTCAAAAACCCCAAATTATTTGTTCACTTCAAGTATTTATTCAGTGCAAAAAGACGATTTTGGTGCAAATGGATCACAGTAAGTGCAACGCCGGTAGGATTGTGCACGGTGCAGTCTGTACACTGCATTAGAACATTTTGTTTTCGCTACTGAGTAACTAATAAGTAGAGCGCCATGTTTAATGAATCGCCTCCCAGTTGAATGTATTCCGTTGGGCTGAGGTGGTGGACCAATTGGCACCATAGCCAATAATTTCTGTAGAAACGAGATCCACGTCAGTGTGATAGAGTGGCGGTGGTGTTACATGAGGGCCTCGAAACTCTTCTCTCCGTTGAAGGTCGTTGATGGGCGGTAGTTGCAGCGTCTCCTCCAGTGAGATTGGCTCGAAATATGAGGTCACTCTGTGATGATAGGCCGCTTCCTCGTCCTTGGGATGATCATCTTCTTGTTGGAGGATTGATTGAACCCATGAGGTTGGTCGGTTGTAGATATCGCCAACCTTTGAAGTGGGACCGCCCATTGCATCCAGGTCTAGTTGGGCATTGGATTAATTGTAGAGGAGAGGTTCGTGCAACCCAGCGACATTTGTTCTTAATTCTACACACTTTACTCAAGTCGTTTGTTGCACAAATTTTAGGCTTCTTTAAAATTCCTTTAAATTGAGTTTTGCTGAACTACCGGCCATCTTGAAGAACTCAAAATCGAACTGTCTGCCAAAATCAACACGGTTTCAGTTCCTATTCAATTGTGATAATTGGAAGAATAACCACCCACATCAGAAGGATTTCTTCCATTAGGTTTTGGAATGGTATTCAGCCCAAAACACCAGGGTTGTTATCCCTTGGAGAGGTTCTGTCAACGTTGGTAATCGTGTAGCCCTTCAGTTCATAATGGGTAACTCAAAGAGAAGTTCCCTTCTCCACTATCTAGGCTGACTTAAGGGGAACTTGAAGTGAACATCGCTTTATTTTATCTTCCCATCAATGATCACCTTTAGTTCTCTCTCCTGGAAAATACAACAAACCTATTTTTTTAATGAAATTCTATAAAGCCACAAATTGATGTCCTACCAACAATAGTCCCATCTCCCTTTGCCAAAAACACACAAAACTGACCATAATGGCGATAACATCAGACCAGGGGCTGGGACAAAAAACACTGAGCTGTCCACTCCTCCCACCCCCTCCCCCACCGCCCTCATATCCCATCCCAAGCACTAAGGTAATGGGTGTGTCAAGAGGTAAAAAGGGGAAGAATGGGACGAGGAGAGAGAAAGAGGAGAAGGCATGGGAGAGACCATTATCTTCATCCCCACGGCAATTACTGGAGAGGCATCTGGCGCCAGGGCTGCTTTCTAGGAGGTAATCGATTTCAAAGGAGGAGGACACAATGGTTTGGCCACGGTAGAGTTTGGTGCCTCTTTGAACACGCATTGAGTGTTTCTTATGCATCTTTGAGCTTAATGTCATTGGCTAATTACCCAATCCGAGAATATGGTTGGCTGATTTGAACTGGGAAACCCAATTAGTCAGAAGAGTTTTCCCCAAAAATTTCGTGAGAGCCTACTACTTTACTGGCACCTCAAAGAAAATATCAAATTCACATAAATAGTATAGATAGATTGCCTCTTTGGATGTGAAGAACGTCGCGAAAGACCCCATTTGAGCTAGAAATCCTCATACTTGGATTACTTCACACGCTTTCATGGGCCGCGCCTTTGATATTAGAAGCCAGTTAAATATCGTACGTGATAGGGAAATAAACGTATTTATTTCTGCAAATATTTATTCAATGGAAGGCAAAAATAGGCAGAAACTCCATTTAAAATACATCTGATTATCTTAGGAGTGAGATTTGGCAACACGACATACTTAACTGCACAGCTTTCATCACCGTCTTTGGGGCTCGGACTCCCATTCATGTTGATGGTCTTCCAGTTGCCCTTTTACTAACATATCCTGTTACGACCGGCTCCACGACAGCGATAAGCGATTCACTCCAAACTCCACTCTCGTTAATTAATCACTAGAATTTAAGCATCCCTTACCTATTGCGATTGGTTAAATATGCAAAAGCTCACCACAGAGCGGTGCGGACCTTGGCAAACCCTCCATTCCTACTGAGACACAATAATCACTGACGAAGTAGGAAGTAGAAGAAAGTTTACTGTAATTCCTTAATGCACCAATCCGGATCATGGTCTGATAAGGCGGCCTTTTTCTTCATTTTGATGCTTTCTGATAAGGCTTGCTGCGTTATATCTTTCAGTTTTGACAGTACCCGGTCTTTGAAAAGGGTACAACCTATCTATTTGGCTACTGTTGGGTAAAAATGAACTTAGCTTATTTTTCTAAATAAAAGTAAGTCCATGGGCTTAAAATTCTCCCTGGTCAAGTGTTTAGCGGTTCTCAATCTGGACACTGAAGCCGCACAACTTAGTTTGAAGAAGCAAATCAGAGAACTAGAAAATCCATTTCTCTCCGAAGCATCTCGAAGCACATCGATTTTACAGACTTTGTTGCCACTTCCTTGAGAAATTTTGAAGACCAGATCGTTATCGAGTATGGACAGTGTGCTAATAGCAACTTTCCTGCTAGCTTTTACGCCAGGAGTTTGTGTTTCACCATCAATAGGGATCAGTTCTCTTGAAAACACCTTAGTTTCCGTTATTCCACCAGGCAGTTAAAAAATACACCCAACCTTTAGAGAAAGCCTTTTGAAATAGTTTCCGCGCTGTAAGAGCTCTAATTACAATCTTTTATCATTTCACAAGGAAAAATAAGCTTGCAAATTACACTTCAACAATATCTTTTGTCTCTAGGTGAACCAAAAAGCCCTTGGCATCTCCATTTTTGCCTCACTTTTACTCCCCCTTTGTCTATTCTTCTTGGCATGTAATTGTATAAAAATAATGGCGAGGCGATGGCCACTTAGAGCTTGGAGTAAATGAGGCACTGTCCTAAAGGGCAGTGTAAAGCCTTCTCACAGGTAAGTGTTACAGTGCCATGAGGTCTTGCGTTGCCCTGCAAGAATAGCGAGACATATTTAGAAAAAGACCTTCAAGTGGTAGCCAAATCTTAGAGAAAATTACTTGCTCTTCAATAATGACGTCCATAATTCACCATACACAAGTTAAGTAAGTTTTTCAAGCATAAATTGAAGTCTTAGAAATGCAAGGGTGGGTAGCGAGTGCACCCTTTGAAAGATAACAAATGATACGTTTGTTCTCAACGAATGGGAAACTATAGAAGATATGTTGTGTCACAGGTTAGTCGGTTAGTCAGCCAACAAATAACCCAAAGTATATGGCTCATTTTGTAGTGTAATTGGTAGAATAGAAGGTGGGACCCATCTCCTTAGCAGCTTTTATAACTTCCCTATTTAGGTGGTAAATTCTTCTACCACCGTTTATGGGAAAGTCCTACGCCCTTAGAGCCGAGTTAAACCCAATATGTCAAGCAGACAGGCTCGGATCACATCCTTCAGGTTTCGACAAGGCACCACAGCAAACTTTCCGAAAGATTGTAAGGAGTTTTTCAATCACCCGATATTTTTTGCTAGTCAATTTCATCTCTTGTGGTAGCGGGTACATTCATTTGTACGCCTGAAATGCACTGAATCCGTCACGTCAGCTTGACCATTTTAGTTTTTCCTAACTTACTTTTTTGACCACTTTACTCCTCCACTGAGCATACAAGTAAATTAAGGGTAAATTCATGCTCTTGTTACACGTATACCTTCCACCCACAATGCTCGGTACTTGACAGGACTGTTCTTTCGCCCTTGGTACCATTTACAGACCCAGAATGAATGCAATTGGCCTGTTAAACACGATCAGGTACCGCTTCCCGCATCATCTTTTTCCCACAAAATGGCTAGACTGCAGAAACACCCATTTTCTCTGTCCGTAATCGATGATGGAACTCCCACGATCATTGACATGTCTACCTGTCAGTAGTGTTAACTTAAAATATCCTCACAGAGGTCTATTGGCGTACAAATTCTCGAAATACATCACTACTACTAAAGTTCAGAACTTTTCACTGTGATACTCATTACATCACCGTATAAAATGTATGACTATATCAAGTAAAACCAAACCTTTTGGAGCACAGGGTCCAAAAGAATCTTGAATGCCTGGAAGAATTTGTGGTGAGCTGCTAGAACTGTCAAAGTCACCCGTTGTAGATGATTTTCCATGGAAAAGAGTCTCCAAGCAGTCGTTGAGGTTTAACAATTCCAATGTTGATGCCTCAGCTGTAAAGTGTTCCAGACGGCTGAGAAGATTAGTGGTTGCTAAAAAAAAGCTTCATTTGTTTTTAGTTAAAAAACAAAGTTGCTTTCCCAGTTTATCGAAAAGAGCTTTGAAAAACCGACAGGGTCTTCTTAAACCCATCTACTTCTGGGAAGTTAAGCCTGTCTGCTTGATTAGGTTAGATTACTTCCTGATTCTTCAAGCCAGTTCAAATGATCATCATGAGATGCAAGACTGATTCTAACGAGGCTGGAATATTCACGGATGCAACTCATTTTTAAGTGTCAAATACGTTTCGTCAAGCCACCTCCCAGGCATTCCTCTAGCTAGTCGCGTTGGCAGGACTCGCACTCAAAAGGATGACATGATTAGTAGGTACTAGATTTTGAAGTGCCCAGCTCACTTTCAATTCCCGATTGATCCACAGCGGACCAGTCGAAGAAGCTTGCAATCCAGAGGTTCTTGTGGAGCCGAGATTTCAGTAGATCCGTCTCAGGGTCGGTGGATTGTGCGAAGAAATTGGAGGAAACACCAAGGTTGGCTGTTGAGAGCGTCGCAATGCATGGCAGATTTAGTCCTCCAGATAACAATTTTGAGTAAAAATTTAGTGGCTACGATATTTCTGTAATATTGGAAATTTCATCCATGGTAATTTAGAATGGGAATCGTGAATAGGTAAGTAGAGATCAGACGGGTAAATAGTGCGGAAAAAACAACAGTGGTTTAAATTTGATACCGTCTGCCAACCTCAACAAGGAAGCTTTGAATCTACCACTTTACATACTTAAAATTAAAAAAAGATGACCTGCTTTAGTTATGGGTGAAAACGTTAAGTCCATTCAACAATTGTGGAGCTTCACCAACAAAATACGCGGTTAATCATCTTGGTCATATCCTACCCAATGCGACAGTTTAAATCCAGACACTAGAGATGGCTGTCAAGCTCTGGCCCAAAGGGATTGCCTTGCACGATTTCATAGTGGGCATACTTGGTTATATGATGATAACTGGCCTCCGGGCTAGTATAATTGAAAACGCTGACCATAATGTCCAGGGTGGCGCCGAGAGGGTTATCGACAAGTCTGTCTCAATACCAAGGGCTGGTTGATGGCCACCATTAAATATACGACAAATGCATTTAGGTGCCATTTCAAAAGCATACCATTTCAAAAGTCGTGACAAAGATGACTCTTCCTTCATGAAACAGGAGTCTTTGCTACATAAAATCGCTAATTAAATTACCTGTTGAACGAGGAAATAGGTTATCCGCTAGTTGTTGAAAAGTGGAATTCAGCTTCCTCAACTGTGCTGCCTCCGATGTTGCTCTTGATCCCATGATGGTCTGATTTGTAGACATCATTTTTGAAAAGAAGAAAAAATAAATATTGAGGCAAATTATTTCAAACAAAAATCCATGGGTTTGTGTACTGATCCTTGTACCTATTTACGCAATAGGGAAATGCACATGCATAATTTTGGCGTGTTGGGCTAAGACGCTGCACATAATTAGACTTTGGATGAAAAAGAAGAGCTTTTGTGGCTACATTCACTTCCCTAAGTTCCGCTTTTTGAAAAAAAGGCGGAATGTGCCCAAAGTGAGCAGAAGATTCATTAAGGTAGAGTTTCCTCCTAAATAGATGTTTCTAGGACGACCACCACTGTGGAGCATCATCCAGCTCTTAAAACTACTTCTCAAGTAGGCCTCTTTCAGTGCAGCTTGCTAACAAAGAAGGCGATAAATGAGTCATACGAAAAATAGGGGGGACTTTGATACTACTGATATGAATTAAGCGTACTATATATACCATCTTTTGACAATTGTAATAACCTATTCTTTTAAAATGTAAAGCGGGTTGGCATATTTTGTAATTGATTTCCTTCTAATTGGAAAGCAAGATTGGGTCATGGTGTTGCGAGTTAATTGAATTAGATTAATACATTTCTACTAAAAAGTTTTTTTTTAATTGCCAAAATCTACCATTCTCTCTGAAGACAATGTAACTTAAAAAAGGCAAGGTGAGTGGTCTTGGTTCATTGCACCATGTGACCACTTCTTGCTGAACAATTTGCTAATGACAGCGGTCAATCGGAAGAGATGATGATTGGGAAACACCACTGGCA